ACACATTCGGGTAACTGGATTATAACTATATATATAATAATACTAGCGACCCGCCCTCGCTTCGCTTCGGAAACTGTAATTTATTATTGATTTCTCAACTATTTAATGGATGTTATTATACATATAGACCTTCCTCTTCAATCACTCTATCTATTAAAAAAACCACATCAAAATCCGTTGCGTAGTTTTAAAGATTTAAGCATACATATGGACAATCAGATATAGGGACAGAGAAAGCGACTTTGTTTTATACTATGTAGTGAAGATGTATTGTTTTTGTAAATTAAATAAATTAAAATTTAATTTAAATTAAAATTAAATAAATTAAATTTTGTAAAGCATGGTAAATCTTCGATGATTATTCGGCCGTTACGACAAAATGTGTTTTTTTGTGTACAAAACAAAACGTTATGACTGTCGGTACTTGAACCATTGTACCGTGGTTCACTTGCTGAGTAAATAATAATAATAATAATGGTTGGTTCGAAGTAAGTATCAGTTGAATGGAATATTTGAAATGTATTCAGCGGATAATTACTTTTAACAAATGTATCTTTTTTCAATAATACTATGTACACATATGGACTTATTGTTGTCTGAAATAAGATAAATCATTCATTAATTCATTCAAAACAAACATTTCGCAGCCAAAGCCGATCTCTGCTATCAAAGAAAGTCATAAATTTAAATAAGGTCTCATTACATGAATGTAAATTGTTAATAGTTGATCATCGATAAGATTGAATCAGGGATTATTTTGTACTAATCTGTGTGAACGAACTTCAATCAGGTTATTAGACTTTTCTGGTTTTTTTTTTTCTGAATACCGCTTCTTAGCTTATTTAAAGCGTCCGTCTACTTTGAGAAATGAGGTCGGAGTCTCATTTGCATTCACTCTTCAAAACCGGAACGTTCATTTTGCTGCAGGCTAAGTTGCGCCAATATTATCAGCTCACTGAGTTTCTCGTCGTACCTTCTCAACGGATCGCGATTCCGATCCGGTAGAACATACATTTTTTTTATTTATTGCTTAGATGGGTGGACGAGCTCACAGCCCACCTGGTGTGAAGTGGTTACTGGAGCCCATAGACATCCACAACGTAAATGCGCCACCCACCTTACATACATGCGTGAACCTCCCTCTCTAGCTGACAGATCTCCTTCGAAGGCGCTCGGGCAGCTGTTAGAAAATTCCAACGGTCTTGCCGAGACCCGTGGTCATTAACCTTTCCTGACGAAACTGAAAGACCTTCGAACATTACAAGTTACCCTTCCATCCCAAAAAAAGGTCAAGATTTTTTTTATTTATTGCTTAGATGGGTGGACGAGCTCACAGCCCACCTGGTGTTAAGTGGTTACTGGAGCCCATAGACATCTACAACGTAAATGCCACACCTACCTTGAGATATAAGTTCTAAGATCTCAGTATAGTTACAACGGCTGCCCTACCCTTCAGACCGAAACGCATTACTGCTTCACGGCAGAAATAGGTAAGGCGGTGGTACCTACCCGTGCGGATTCACAAAAGGCCCTACGACAAGTGAATTACGCCTAGTACGGCCCATAAGCAGATCTGTTAAGTAATTATTATTCATAATTAATTATGAATAACCTATTGTCTTTGGCGCCCAATGCCAAGGACAATAGGTATTAGAGAAACAACTGTAAACATACATTAATAATAATATGTAAGTACGTAGCGGTGGAGAACTATCACAAGCCTCTTTTAATTAATTTATGTTGTTCTATTTGTTATCTATATATAATAATACATGAAGCAAAAACTTTGTATCACTTTTTACGAAACCACTCTCCACTCTTTTATTTTGAAACACCGGTCTACCCCAGAGCAGTTCGAAACAGTTCGGATTTCTCGAGTACTCATCTATACTAATATTATAAAGCTGAAGATTTTGTTTGTTTGAACGCGCTAATCTCAGGAACTAGTGGTCCGATTTGAAAAATTCTTTCAGTTTTAGATAGCCCATTTATCGAGGAAGGCTATAGGCTATATAACATCACGGTAAGAAGGCACGCGGAGCACCAATGAAGAATGTTTTAAAATCGGGTTTTTTTCCTCTTTTGAGAGCTTCCGCTGCGTGTGCTGCAGAAATGGTTAAAGTTTCGCTGAAATAATATACGAAAGAATTGTTTCCTTTTAAAAGATCTAAAAAAAGTCCACGACAGCATATTATGTCTATACGTTAAGCTTGGTTCACTATAACGTTTTTTGTGCTAACCAAATTTGTTCTAAAATAAAGCATTATTTGTGAACCATTCCACGCGGACGAAGTCGCGGGTAAAAGCTAGTACAATAATAAAACTACTGTTAGAATTTAATTTTGCGGTTTTTTTTTTGTTATTATATTATGTTATTTCGGACTCTTCGAAGACTTTAAAATCGTCCCGGCCCATGAATACAATACGAGAAATTAAACCGAAAAATAATCTTTTAAATACATATAATACTATTTTAATTTTTAAATATGTGTTCTTTTTAAAGATACATAATAATATATCTATAATTTATTTGTTGACCGATTTTTATCTTCCTAGCTTAGCTGTCTTTACAGGGTGAGTTATGTACGTGTTATCAATTATCTTGACTGCTCTAGAGGTCAATAAATATGTTACTTTGATTCTTTCAAGTCACTGATAGCGCCCAAATGAACACTCGCGCGAGCCGATATTAAACAAAGTGTAAAATGAATATCTTCGCTTCCATATCTGTCTGAAGTTCATTGCACTGCGACACGGAAAACTGATATTTGAATCAAAAATAAAACTTTGGGTTGTACGTACTACGAATTTGCTGGACACATCACTATGTACGAAAAATGTCCTGACAGCACCTGTAGCTATGCCACAATAAGTGTTGTTTAATTTTTTTAAATAGTTAGTTTTATTTAAAAAAAAAGCAACGTCAATTATTCCATTCCGATAGAGGCACCCGTCACGTGCGGACGTGCTCATCGTCCACTCGATCGCCCGGTCTTTGTTCGCCCGGCTTTTGTTAGCCCGGCCATTGTTCGCGCGGCCTGTGTTCGTGATACATCTGCCGACCAAGTGTGTTTCCTGGAAGCTTTTATTTGTTTTGTTTTAGTTATTTTTGTGTTCGTGGAACATTTGCCGACAAAGTGTTTTCCTGCAAGTATTTATTTGTTTTGTTTCTTTTGTAATTTCTATTTTGTTGTGCTTTTTCTTTGTCCTGTAGTAATCGCGCCGCATTGCCACCTGTGTTCAATAGAACCGCTCAGGTCCGAGAAGTTGGGGCCTCGCCGCAAGGCGAGTGTTTTCAAGACCCGGGGCCGCCCCACCTGGGTACTCAGCGATCATGGACGCTGTATTCGCGGAATTCCTCCGACTTCGCCACCCACAGCTCGCCTCGGAGT